CACACACTGCAAACAGCACAGATGTGCTAGGATAAAAAAGCTCTACTATATTTCAGATGTATCTTTATGAAATGCCATTGCATGCTGAGAAGCAAATTCATGCTTCCATTAGAAACAAACACAGCAAAAAGGAAATAAAATAAATCCAAACCATCTTCTGCTAAATTTGCATCTGCAAATATTAGATTTGAGAAAAACCATTTTCCTAGGTTCTCAAATGATAGCTATGGGAAATACAGAGTCAAAATATTTAGGTAGGAAAACTAGCCCTTAAATTTCAGTCTTCTGCACAATATAATTGTTATCATACTGCTTTTTTTTTTTTTTTCCAGGAAAACTTTAAATCTCTGACAATTAATTTGTAGAGATTTTCCTCTCCATTTTCTCCACATGTCACATCCTCTCAGTATTTTGGATATCATGATTAACTCTTTCCTTACAGAGGTCACCATCTTTTAATATAGTGTCAGTCCAATGAAAAAGCACACAGGAAACTGAACCCCTCCCTTCTCTTTTTTTCCTGTCCTTCCCCCCCCCCCCCCCCCCCCCCCTTAGAATTCATGAATTCGTCTTTATTCTAGAAGTCCATTTAATCTGAATTCCCTTTATTCTAGAGTGGGAAATCATGTCAAGATTAGTGGGTTTTCTGGTACAGCCTAGTTACAATATGCAATTTAAAAAAATCATCTCTTTATGTTTCTGAGATAGGTTTTTAAAAATTTCCTTTAACGTAAAGAAAAAGCTTTTTGATCAGTTTATAATCAGATCAGAAATAATACTTTCTTACAGAATTTAACAGATTGCTGGTAGACAGAGAGCACTTGACATCATAAAGCTGTGTCATGTTTTCACTGTGCTTCCTGTATTGCAGCCAGCCTCCATCTGCTATCTCCTTTCATGTTATAAGTTCCTAGGGCAGAGGTTTGCCCTTTTGTTGGCTATATATATCACAGAATGAAACGGAGACTCACTTCTGGAAAAACAGTACTTAATAGCTGTGATGGCGCAAAGTAGCAAAACAGTGTTACTCAGTTTTTAGAAATGGAGCAATGCACTGTTGCCTGAGGAAGAGACAACAATTACACTGGTCTGCAACTGAAACTGGTAACACTGGCTCCCATGACACAAGTACAATTATTCTTCTTACTAGCAACAGCATAGTGTTCTTGAATAATGCCCTCAACTGAAAGTCGCTGAGCATTTCATGCTGGTTTTTTTTCCTGTTCTAGCAGTATTTGAGTGAGTTAATTTTAAGTATTAGATAAGGAACCTTACATGGGATTCAGTCTGAGATTAATGTACCTAAATAAGTCACCTCTGTGTACGTACCTGCAGGGTGTACTAGATGTCTAAGGTGCATCTGTAGTCAATGGAGAGCTAGGGCTTGATACCTAAATAAAGGAAAGAAGAGCCATTAGAGATGCTGTGAAGTATCCAGAATATCTGCATGGATCCAGTAAATATGACAAAAGGACTAAGGGAGGCCTTAGAATTTCTGCAAGTCACATGGAACACCTTTAGATGTTTAGGCCAACAAAATGAGCATCTAGTCAACAGTCAGTGGAGCCCAGAACAAGCTTTAGGTAACCATGAGGGGTGTTCACACAGATACTTAGTGCTATTTGAGCTACCAAAGAGCTACCCTGATGGCCTACAGCCACTTCTCCAGAATGATACCCGTCTTCCCCAAGTCCTGTATCATGTTTGTCAGTCATGACTCTTAAACACCTTGTGACATATGAAATAATGTGTCTGCTGATGGGCAACTAAGTCAAGATGTCAGTATCTACTCAGCTAGATGGTGCTTTCTAAGCTCCTTTGATTATGCTGATAAGATTTTTGTTCGTTGTAATGAGAGTTTAAGGAAGCAGCATGCTTGTATGTACCTACCTTTTGGAAGGATTCATTACATCTATGTAGATCCCTAGTGTCGTTTAGGCTCTGTGGGATATTTCCTCTGTTCTCTTGTTGCCAGTGTAGAAGCCTGTGTCTTCTTCAAGCATTGTGTCATATTTACCAGCCATATGCAGATGTTTTGAATAGCTGAAAGTAGCGTATTTGCACTAGATGTCTTTCTTAACATCAAGCTGAATCCCAGCCATTATCTCCATTTTTTACACAGGGTAAAGAGAAAAATGTTTCCCAGGATAGCCCCAAAATGTTGCTATCAGAAATTGAATTTTCAGTTCCTGTCAGGTCTCAGTGACAAAACGACTGGAGGGGGTGGTTAACCTTTTAACAGAAAGGGTAACATCAGTTAACTTAACATGAGAAGTTAGCAACTTATCAGTCCAAGCTATTCATGAGCCAAGTCCCTGACTTTTTTCATAACACCTCTGTGCTCTTGTTTTGTTACATACTTATTCCCTCTCTCATGGCACATACTTAACGCTGTCAGTACTTTTGGCACTTGCTGTATAAGAACACTGGAGAATTACCTTGTCTTACCTTGTATATGAAGAATTCCAAACATGATAATACTAAAATGAATAACACATTTAAAATATTAAAACTACAAATAAATTGTGTGCTCTGTGTAGAGTTTGTGCTTTGTTTAGTTTTTCTAACTACTGCAGCCTTGTCAACAACTCCTCTCCTTGGAAATTTATTTTTGCTCATTTTGCAGTGTCTAAGACATGAAATACAAAGAGTCCATTGGCAGAATTTTGCAAAATTATGCTTTTTTACTGAAGGCTGATATGCACTGTATAGCACTATATAATGGCTTCAGATACTATTAACTACTGACTGTGCTTGATTCTGAAAAACCTGCCCCCAGAACTTGCCTGCCATTATGGGATTTGCTATTCTAGGTGTTTCTGGACATATATTCCCAGTGAAAATGCCTATGTAGGTGTCTGATAACAGAGTTCAGATACTAGATGTTTTATACAATCTCCATCCTACTTATAATGTTGGAAGTTGTCTAAGTTTAAACTCTGAGTTTTGTAGTCAGTGAAATGAATCAAGTGTCTGCAGGGAGAGATTCATCTTTTCTGAACCACCAGATTTAAGACGAGATGATTACCCTCTGGAGATACCTCATTCATTCCCTTGATACATATAGGGCTTAAAGTTACTCTTTTTAAAGTAGTCAACTAACTTTCAGGTGACTGAAGTTGATGATATTAATCTTCCCTTTTGTAATTGGAAAGCTCACAGCTGAGAATGTGCTAACAAGCTCTCAGGCTTTTCATCAAAGCTGCACTGACACTGCTCAGATTTAGCTTGCAGATGGTAGATGTTTCTACTGGTCTTTTGGTATTTTCTCCAAAGCAGCATCACAGGAAATTATTAAAGTTTGTCCATTATTCAGCTATGAGAATCCATAACAAAGCTGCTTAGAACAGCTTAAATGTGTTCTGGAAAGAGAATTGAATTTGATTATTCAGCACTCACCGAGACTATCACACCAGGTAAAATTGAGAAGTGTCTGTTTAATTTGTAACTGATATCTCTGTTCCTTTGAAATTCCTTATTATTTTACTTGAGTTTGCTGTGAGGTCAGCATGGGCAGAAGAAGTGTGTGTTGATAATGCTATTTGTGAGCTGATTTAGCTGTGGCTGGGAGGCATGTGGGGGGCGCATTTAGTTTTAGCAGAAAGAACCTGCTGAGGGAAAATTTCGCACAATAGTGGGAGATGACTGTGCCTGGTTTCTGTTTGCCTTTTAACTGGCGTTTCAGGAGTGCAGTGACCTGGAGTGTTGCGAATAGGAGCCACAAACACAGACTCAGCATTTAACTTCTTTGGTAATTGGGCAAGCAATAGTGGTCCCTAATGTTCAGCAAAACCCAAAATGATGAACTTTAATTTTCTATCTATGTTTTTGTTGCGCAGGGGGGCTTTGAGTTTCTGCAGTAGGCTTTGAGATGTGTTGTTTGCATGACGAGAATGCAGGAAGCTGAGGCAATAATCTTTAAGAGGACTAGAAAGCATAGTGCACAGAAATGAAAGGCATGGTTTAGCACCATCCAACTGATAGCAGGTTGGATGGTTTATAAATAAGTTCCACTATTTTACTCCTGGATTTTGCACAGAAGAAAGCTATAACTTAAATGCCAAAGAAGTTGAGTAGCTGAAGTTCAACACTGATAATACAGCTTTCCATTGCCAAACTTTTCAGCAACTCAAACATCTGTATTATGGAAAATCAATTTGCAATAGGGAAGACTGCTTAAATTAGAGGCAAATTCACGCCATTTATAAATTTATGACTTAATTGTGAAATAAAAAAAAATTTATCCACTTAAACATGTTTGCTTTTCTGCAGGAAGTAACATCTGCAAATTAGAGCCAAGCTTGGATTCTCATATTCAGTGAATCTAAATTGCGTTGCTTATTTATATAAAATGAAAGATCCCCGAGGTAGTAAACATGTTCCCTTCCAGGCTCTTGTTTGCTGTATTTATTTTTCTTATGTTTTCCATAACAACCGGTTGCCTTAGAATGACTTCTGAGGTGACTAGTATGACTGCCAAATCAAACGGATTGATATTGTATAAGAGGAACAGAAAGGGAAATCTGAGACCACAGATGTTGGGCAAACTCATACATTAATATGATGGAAAGATTTGCATCCCCAGAGAATGGATGAAAATTTTCTTAAATCTTTTAAAATGCAAAATCTGTCACAGACATTCCTTTTGATCAAAAGACAGAATTTGCAGTATCTGCAGAGGTGTATTTTGTCCATGCTTCCCAGTAGGAGTGAATTGATCCAGGTCACACAGTCTACAGTTACCCAAGATGTATGTTACCCAAGATGTATGAGATACTCCACATGTAAGTGCTGTTTGCTTCCTGCATTGTCAGCAGTAGTAAAGCTGAGAGTGTTGAACATGCACAGCTGGCCTAGAGCAGAAAGCTGCTAATCTTTTTTAATATATTTCAGCTCTTGACAGAGTGCTTATCGGGAATATAATGCTGATCATCTCAGCTCCCCTTATGGCAAGCCCAAAAAGTACTAACATTGTTCTACTAGTTCACCTAGTTCTCTAGTTCACCTTAAGCACAGTCTAACAGGTGTAGGCTTAGTGGGGAGCTAATGGGTCTGTAAACCCAAAGTAGGATTTGCCTCTGATTCTTTAGCCATGTGGGCAGTGAAGCCCTTTCCTTGAGGGTGGGGGGCAGAAGGAGTATATGTCCATGAAATATCCTTGTATAACGTATTAATTATCTTTTTGAAGAAAACGCGGCTATGTTTTCTTTTGTATGCCTGTAATCTCACTGAAATTGCCTTCCAATCCCATGAAAAATGCTCCCTGCCTCTGCCTGTTAGCTGAAAGTCAGACATCTTTCAGCTTCGTTGAATCATAAGTAAGTTCCAAAGGCTAACTGCTGAAAAACCCCTGCCATGCATCCAGGCAAACACACCACAGTGGCCATTGGCTTAGCAGATTTCAGCTGCTGGTGAAAAGTATGAGAACAGCAATCGCTTTTAACCATGCAGGAATTATAGATCAAACCCGTTATCTAGAGCAGCATTAAAAAATGGTGTGCTGAAAGAAATATGGGCTGTCCGAGTTTTTAAAGAACTTTATTATACTGCCACATGGAATGCAGCAATACTGACATTGCTCAGTGGAAGCAGATGAGTTACTGGGGACACAGACCTGGTACTCTCTTCTCTGATCCTGTACAATGAAGGAAAATTAATATTTGTTCCAGTACACAATCTTAGAAATACTTTATTTTTCTCTAAGCAAACAAAGTCACCCAATCTCCCCAATCTTCCCCAAGACAACCCCCACAAACCCCTCATTTAACACTTGAATGTACTCCAATTTAAAGCATTAAAGCCTGTCTGCATGTTGTGAAAAGAATTTACCACTGCTCATGTCTGCTGGCATTTAATTCTCCCAGGCAGTTACCTTTTGGATTTTACACTTTAAGCCTATCACTGCGTGAATTCCATCATATTTGTGCTTCCCTATTTCTGAGTTTTAACTCTGGAGAAAAGGATTGAATATGGAGATCTTTTATGAACACTATGCAGGAGCATCTCTTGTAAATAGTATTGCAATATAAATTGAAAGCATAGGAAATATGAGTTTGGGATGCTGATGAGAGGATGAAGAGGAAGGGGAGTGTATGAGCAGTCTCTTTCAGAGCTCTTCCATTTGCTCCACTGCCTCTTATCTTTCCCTGATGGTGTGTCAGTGCTAAGTCAAACAGCTTAGCTTAAATTGAATGGAAGCATCATAAAGGCCTTTTGAGGCATTCTTTGTCTGCTGGTTGCTTGAATTGCTCTGAACTTGTTGGCCACACTATATATCAGACACTCAGGCTTGCTTCTGATCTGTGAGTCTTTGACGTCCTTCTCCTGAAGGGTTTGTAGTCCTCAGGATGCAGAGAGGCCTCGAGGTGATTTAGGAAGTTGGGCAGAATGGAGGATCTGCAGGTCAGGTTTCAATTTCAGACATAAGGGAAATACTCTCTGAAGGAAATGCCTCCAGTGATATTATCTGGTCTTATAACCTTATATTCAACTAAAACTTGGTTTGCTTATGGCCTCTGACAATCATATCTAAAGTACATCACGTGCTTTGTAATCCTGGAAAACAGCATTCAGGTGGGTGCTTTTCAGAAACACACTTGTATCTTTTAAAACTTTTCCCCTATGGCTGGTTTTCAGGATAAGTTGATCTCATGTGACTGCAACTCATCACATTTTGTCCTCCCATTCTCTCATTTGCTGAAGTAGTCAGAGATGTCTCTGGGATATAGTTAGTTCCTTCCTGTTACAGTTCATGATAATTCTTCATGTGAATATGCTGTGAGGCTTTGGAAATACTTCCTGTGTGTCTCACTTTCTCTTGTCCTTCTTTCCATTTCTTTATCCATACTCTAAACTTTTTCTCTAAAGTTTTTCTGTACATTTCAAAGAATGAAATGTACACTCAGACTAGGAACTCCAGCAAATAAAGGATAAGCAATAGACTAGTGATCAGTCCAGGCTAAGCAACTACGTATTTTTATGCTGTTCTTGTAGAATAGGGGTTTGATCTTAGTAGTCTGTTCTGTTCTGTGATTTGCTAATAGCTATCCAGAAGAGTGATGCAAAGAGGCACCAGATCTTACCCTACTCTATAGGAAATAAATAAAATAATGATGAACATACTGTAACTACTGAACAGAAATATGTGAATGGAATGAATGGGCAGAAATGATCATATTTCCTTTTAAATTCATCTGGTCTGGAAAACTGTTTGCTTTCCTTTGCAGAAGAGAAAGGTGGCCTCAATATTATGGCAGATGCAACAAAATTGCCAATCCATTGCCCCTTTTTGCAAAAATATAACTCGTGCATTGCCCGGGAGTCATTTCCATGCTGTTTATGCCAGTGTATTGGCAGTGTATGCAAACGGAGTTTTCCAGTACAGTGCAAACTGATGCAGACTGCTTCTGTAGGTTGGAATAGTCTGAACATGTGCAATACATCCACTGATTATGCCATGAACATGCCAGATTTCTATATGATAATAAACATCACAATGATAGATGAGGAAAAAAACTCCTCTACCAGGTATGTGCATTAATCATTGCCCAGTCAAACTTCTTTTTAGTCAGTTTGTCTCCTCTCCATTCTCTGGGGTGCATATTATGTGGAATAAAGAGTCTGCCAAAGTAAGACTCCTTGACATGTCCTTTAAAGTTCCTTGTGGGCATTTATAGACTTTAAGGAAGCAAATTATACAGCTATCTGCTAGCCAACAGGTTGTGAGGAGAAGAGTGCTTCAGATAAGTGACATAACTGAGCAGACACATCTGTTGCATTTCAGGGTTTATATACCCCTCAGAGTGGGATGTGGCTCTCTGAAATGGCAGTGGCAATATCAGTTTTGTCGGGAGTTCAGTTATATATATACATTTTTATATATCGGCCTGTATGCTTTATTGCATTTAGTACTCTTAAGGTGTTTAATTTTTTAAGAGATTGGAAGGAATAGAATAAGATAAAGGAATAGCTGCTATTTCTGACAACCCATCTTCACCCAGTTCCCACAAGAAAGCAGCAGGTGAATTGTTGACACTTTACTAACATAAACACCTTCCTTGCAACCGCTGGAGAATATTGTATGGACTGAATGGATTTTCTGACAGCAGGCGTGCAAACCATATGTTAGAAACTTACTGTTTCAAGTAATGTCACAAGTGATTATTATTTGTATCAGTAATGGTTATTTACAAAGCCCCTATAAGGAAGCATGCAGAATAAGCTGCTTTGCCTTGTTTGCTCCTTCTCCATTCAGCATTCCTATTTTTTTCACGGGAGGAATCGGGACACTTAACCCACAGTTGACAGATATTTTTTACCAAAGGACCAGCATCCTATTCAGAAACAGCTGCATACCTACTTTGACCACTGTCTTAAGTTACTGCTCTCTGAGGACACAAACCTACTCAAAACCAAGGCACAGATCCAAGCAAAGTCCAGCACTGTTAACACCCTTTCTAGTGTTGTTTTGTTAAAGAAAATTTAGCTGCATGTTTGCAGGTTGTACTTTGGCAAGTCTCTGTGGCAGTAGTCTGTCTCTACTATAGGCAACAGAAGTTTGACCACTACCCATGCTGTGAACCCTCAGTTTTACACTAAGGGACCAAACCAGTCCAAGCTCTAGGGCTTCCTGGAGAAGAGAGAATCCTTGTGTGCATGGTTCTGTGAAATTACTCTTCTAGATGTAGTCTGACGGAGGAGGTGTAAGTGAGGCTTAATGACCTGTTGAGCAAGAAGTACTAGGAGCTGGCTCATCTTCAGCTACCACCAGCTGTGAGGATTGTGGGGCTCAATGAACAGACACTGTCTTCTCAAACCTGTTCTCCACCACGCAGTAAAGACACAGACCAATTTAAGGGAGTGGTAGCTAGTTCAGTCGAGAAATACCCATACCAACAGCATGGAAACAACCAGCTTAAGCCTCCTGGCTCAGGAATGAGATATAGTAAAGATCTATTCACTGTCATTCACTAGCAGGCAGAAGAGTTGCAGATCAGACTATTTCTGGGAGCATGGCCACGTTCAGAGCTCAGTGGAACTAGAAACCATCACTTTGACAGCAGGCCAGCAAAGGGAAAGGAAAGAATGATAAGGCTAAGTTGGAAAGAAACACTGCATGAATGTGAAGAAGCAGTAACAATGTTGTAGAGGGTAGAAAGAAATGGGAGACTTTTCCATCATACTCTATTTCTTGCCCCAATTCAGCGTATTATAACATGCATGAAAAACTATTACCTTGCAATGACTGTTGCTAATTGAAATCTGTAATCCCATTACAAATGCATCTGGACACATTTAATCAAACCATATCCTGTTGTGCAAATTGAGATCCGCGTTCATAGCTCATTTCTAAACAAATTACACACAGTGTGACAGTCCAGGCACTGAATTAGGCATCTAGTAACAAATGCTGCCAGCTCCCTCAGGTTAGCTGAGAAACTGGGTTGCTGCTGTTTGCAAATTCTAAGGCATAGCAGGATAGCTCATTTTCCAGCCTCCCTTGGATTTCCAGTCAGCTACCTCATGGGGATATTTTGTCTTCTGTGGTATTCTACTGGTGGAGAGAGAAGCTTAAATATACTTTCTTTAAGTCTTTCTTGAAAACTGGCAGACTTTTTCATTAAAACTGAAGGCAAGGCTGCTCAACTAGAACATCTCCTAGTCTGCTGACCATTATTTTGCAGACCTGAAAACTGAACTGAAAATAAATATGTTTTTAATGTATTCTGATAAATGTACAGAATAGCTTCTCCTACTTGCTTTCCTATGCTAAGTTCCACCATTCCACCTTTTGGTATAATATCTGCTTTTGTCCATTACAGATTTTGTAAGGAAGACATTGTAAAATTCAAGATTAAGACTACCTACTGCCTGCTTATCAGCTCTTTCACCTTTTCCTGCTACATACTCACCTGAAACCAATACCTCCACCTTCCTCTACTTTTTAAAATGACCACACAAATACAGTCATTTTGCTTGAAAGGTATTCTGTTTTCATAATGTCATAATGTTGGACTCTGGGTGGCAGCACCTGTGAGTGGATATTAGATGTTTGTGCTAAACAAGTGATTTGAAGCCTGTCTCAATCAATAACCATTGTATACAAGTCTTCCTTAAAGCACTTATTCTTTGCTCTTCTTACTTTTTATTTTCGTCCTATAAAACCTAGTAATGTGCTTAATGTATGAATGATGGAAGATCTCTTAGTGGCATGTTAACAGATCTTTCATGATGGTTCAGAGCAGCCTCTTTTACTTGAGTCACAGATGACGGAGAGCAGCACAGGACATTAAGCCATCCTTGTTTGAAACAGAATGGACAATGCTTGGATAGAAATGTGTATTTTTACTGCTGTCACAGAAAATAACATCTCTCTGCTTTGGCTCTTCAGCAGTTGTTTATGCCTTGTCAGGATTATAAAAGGCTGGGGGCATATAGAATCATGGAATAGTTTGGGTTGGAAGGGAGCTTTAAGGATCATCCAACCTCCTGCAATGAGCAGGGACATCTTCAAAGATCAGGTTGCCCAGAAGCACATCCAGCCTGGCCTTGAATGTCTCCAGGGATGATGCATCCACCACATCTCTGGGCTACCTGTTCCAGTACTTTTCCACCTTCATTGTACAATGCAAGTATTTTCCAACACAAAAAATAATAATCAGGGGCATTTCTAGCTGTCCCTGTTTAAGTGTACTGAAAGTGAAGCAGGGTCATCCATAGTCTATGCCAACAGTCATGTGCTGATGTCAGATTGGGCAGATTATTGATCTCCTCTAAGAAGGAGCCTTAGGGAGTATGTAAAGGCGTAAGGTGATTGGCACTACAGAAACAGATCTTGTTGCATACTTATTCTTTCCTCCCAGTATGCAAAGCTTTTTCTGGGGTGGGAAGAAAGTCTCCATTTCTTCCTAGCTATTACCATGTATCTGGCTAATTTGGTGTAGAACTAAGTCTGACTAGTAAAAAGTGTTCTCATGTATCAGCAGCTACAAAAAAAAAACAACAAACACAAAACCCAGAAACATTTTTAAAGACACATGGTGAAACTAGAACAGTAGCAATGAATTGTATTTGTTCTATGTGACCTTCCCTTTCTGCCTGCAGTGGCTTGACACCAGCCAGCATCTGAGCCCTTATCCAGTCACTCACTCACTCTTCTCTACGATCTGGGATAACATTAGAAGTGTGAGCATAACAGCAGAGAAAAAGGGTTACATATTAGAGATGTATTATTCCAAAAATTATTTTACATCTATGACGAAAAACACTGATGTAGTACAATCAGGAAATAACAAGAATGGGGCTGCCCCACAAGAGAAAACAAGTGAGAAGCAACAGTGCAAAGATCTGTGCCTCTTCTGACAGAGGCATAGGCCTGAGAAGGGAAAGAATGGGTACAATTAGAAATGCTATTTACAGTCTAGTGATGATCTGAGATATGCAAAGTAGCCAGCCAAAACAGGCCAGGAACAGAACTGAGCACAAACATACCTGTAACATAATTCAGGCAAGGAGCTTAACTGTGGTTCCTGGAGCAATGGGGCATAGGTGAAGGTCAAAGCAATTAAAACCTGTTGATGTACTGAGGGCCATTACAATCAATTTTTTAATTCAGACTGCTAGACTACTAAAACTTTAACTGGAATAAAAATACATTCTTAGCTTCATTTATGTGATACGTTGCTTTTTGCCCATAACAGAATTTGAGTCTTACAGCATCTCTTTTAATCCAGCAGCTACAGCTCTAGCGATAGCCCTGTTGCCAAAGAGCAAATGTATGGACAAGCCTGTGCCCTGATATAGTATAAATATGACCACTCTCACTACCGGGGTGAATTTCCTTTTAGGCTGTTTCCAGTGATACAGTGTAGTAATTAAATTGCTTCTTTAGAGCATTTGTGCAGATACTGCCTTAGGCCTGCACAGCTGGATTCCTGGGTGCAATGAGCACAGCCCCCAAATAGTTTTTCTGTTGTAATCTGGTGTTACACTCTGGCGCTACAGTACTATACAGCACTACTGGCACTCAGGAAAGGAAAAATAAAAAGGAAAAGAAATGTAGACCAAATCCTTATCCACGCATATACATTCACACACACAGAGCCACATGAATCAAAACAGAGGATTAAATTTACTTGCTTGATGTCCCAGAATGGGCAGTGAGAAGGGAATGAGGTTGGTATGTGAACAGTCTGTTAAACTTTGATTACTCTCAGCTAACACTCCTGCTCATCTACCTCCACATCTATGTAAAGAGAAAGTTACTCTCTGTAACCTATAAAACATGAAATATATTATCTGATAAAATTTGTATTTATTACTAAAAAATTCGTGTCTCAGGAGAAAGCTTTGATTTCATTAATACCAAACAGGCAAGAGCTTGAAAATAGCACAGATACTTTTTTTTTCCAGCTGTTAACATCTGTTTAGAGTTTCTGTTGTGATACTTTTGCTTCTGTGATTAGCGCATAGCTGGGTATGCATAGATTTACAGACTAGAATCCACAGGATTTGTATGCAGGAAGAACAACGGAATGTACCACATACCTATGTTTGTTCAGTCTTATGCTCCAGGTAATAAGCAAACAATCTGAGGAACTTTTCAATATCACGTAGCTGAATGCTGCAGTGTCATGTTTGATTGTTCTGTAACATCTTTACTGTAATCATTAATGGTATGTCCAGTGAGGCTGTGCAATTTTATATGATTTATTTTGTACATGGAGCACAGCACATACACATTATTCTTCCATCTGAATATATACAGTATTGAATATAAGGATGTTAAATATTTTGTATACACATATACATATATTTAAATAATGAAAAAAGGTGAAACAAGCAGGTTAACAACAGTCATTTGGGAAGTAACAAGCTCATACACTTTACTCAAAATCTGCTTCCAGGTTGTAAAAATTGTCATGCGGAAGGTGGAAGAGGATTTCAAATGATGCCTGATGCAGAATGCAAAACAGTGGTCTGAATGCTGACTTGCTAAGTGGATGCTATGCTCAAGGAAGCAGTAGACAACATAGGCATAAACTGGGTCGGCTTCATGGGAAGTAGTCCAAAGTCAAATATAAGCTCTCAGTGCAATTCTGTTAGGATTATTCCTATAACCATTACTGCTATAACCATCTTTAATATGTCAGAGCCTTTCAGAGAGGCTCCTTATTCTGCTTACACTGGTTTGCTCATACCTAGACAAGAACTCAAGTCGTAGTACGAATGCACTAACCTGTGTGGTCATATTTGTATGTGGGTCTTTGTTGCTGTTAGTGAACTAAAATAAAACCCCCACAATCTGAGTTCCCTCAAGTTATGAAAATTCAATTCTGGTTCTTATGAAGGAGAACCTAAGGCATAAGCCTCTCCCTGAGAAAGGAGGGGTTTTATTACAAAAGACCGCCTAAATAGACATGCTCAGGCTAACATTGCTCAGCCATCCACAGTCTGTTTATGGAAGCTTATCCATGCAGCCAGAAGCAAGAAAAAAGTTATATTTATGTTCTCTGAAATATAAGCTATCTCATGTGTGCTGCATTTACAGTTTAAGGTTGTTGGTTTAATGCTTTGCTGTATCATACAGCACACATAAACATAGGTACTGTAACCTGGGATTCTGTGATTAAATATGATTAAAATTAAATGTTGAGCATGAGTGAAATTACACAATTAAATAACTATGTAGAATAATTATGTAGAATTTTTTTATTTCCTTGTGTCGTGGTTTAAACCCAGTCAGGTAATTCGTTCGCTCACTTCCCCCCCCCTTTCTTGCCCTCCCCCTGCTCTCGGAGGGACGGAGAGGAGAATCAAAAGAATGCAACTCCCATGGGTTGAGATAAGAACAGTTTAGTAACTAAGGTATAACACAAATCACTACTGCTACCACCAATGATAATAATGATAAAGGAAATAACAAGGGAACAGAATACAACACCTCACCACCCGCTGACCGATAACTCGCCCCCCAAGCCCGACCAAGCTCTGACCGATACCTCCTCCAACCCTGCAGTCTCCCAGCCCTTCCGGCTAACTCCCAGTTACATCCTGGGCATGACGTGCTGTGGTATGGAATACCTCTTTGGTCAGTTTGGGTCAGGTGTCCTGTCTCTGCTTCCTCCCAGCTTCCCCTCCTCCCTGGCAGAGCATGAAGCTCACAAAGTCCTTGGCCAAACCAAAACATCTCTATCAGCTCTGTTCCCGAGCCGAAAGTCAAAACACTGCACTGCACCAGCTACCAAGGAGGAGAAACATGACTGCTACTGCTGAACCCAGGACACCTTGAAAGTTACTGAACCGAACATTCAGTTGCTTTTAACCACTAATAGTGGTTATAAGGCTTTTAATTGTTGCAGGTCTCAATAGAAAAACCTGGAGCAGACTTGTGTGTGTGTGAGCATGCATATAGTGCAACAGAGGGTCAAGAAAATAGGATCATAAAAAACAAGAATGTGTATGTTTTTCACTATCAAAATAATGACATGAAAAGATGAAAGTATTTGCTGCTGTATGTTAGAAAATGGGGGGGAAAAAAGTGTCCCTTCCTTTAGAAAGGACCTTGTAACTTTCTCCTCCACACTTTTTGCACTTAACCTAAGCGAATATATGCCTAGTCTGCGAGTTTGTGATTAACACAAAGGATCCTTAATGATGGTATCATGCTAGCACATGAATGCATCATTACTTTACACAAGGCTAGGAAAAATCTACATATGGAAACCTCTTACATGTTCAAACAAATTATTCTCTTTCAACACAAACCCTAATGCAAGGTAAGCCTCAGAAGAAAGCATGCCAGCACAGTCATGACTAGCAGTTCCTCATGGGAGAATTCCAGTTTCTTTCATCAGTCCATTTCCAGTTCCCCTGCAAGTGCACTTCTGAAATTTCTTTCTCTCAGCCCTAGCCTTAGTCTGATCCCTAGGACAGCGCTGGTACTTCAACCAAAACCAATCAATATTCCTAAGAAAAGAATTTCAACATTAGTCTTAACTTTAAAAGATGCTCCTGAAGTATCGTTCTAG